CCCACACATGGGGTCCATTCCCTTTGGCCGGTACACTCATTGGGACCTTCCTCGCTGCTGGCGGTTTACTTTCTGTGGTTCTTTTTATTTGCTTTGATGAGTTAAAAGCTCTTCTTCAACTCTGCCCGGAGGCAGGATTCTGTAGCATTAGGGATAATTACAGTTATTTGGTATTTAGGGGTATTAAGGAAATTAGTCAGGTAATGTTAGCATATTGTCACAAAGAAAGAAATACGTTTTTATGGTTACTATTTAATACTCTTTTATAATTGTCGTTTAATAGTTCAGCAAAATTGCCTGGTCTCACCGTTGGACTCTTTCTGTTTGTTCCAGAGCCAGCATGTATTGAGTATATCCTGTTCGGCACGCTTTTTTTTTTTTTTTTGGTGCTCTACCTGCATCATTTAATTCTCACAACCATTCTCAAAAGTAGTTTAATTTTTCAGATGCCAAGCCTGAAGCTGAGTGACATTAAGTAACTTGCTCAAAGTCACCGAACCAGGTCTGATTCTGAACTTAACCTTCCGGCAAGAATGGCTCCCCCCTTCCTTAGAGAACACACACTGGTTTCATTCCCCGTGTTGGTTTTGTGGTGGCTTATCTTCTCCATCAGCACTCTGACAGGTTAGGCGACACAGCTGACGGGGCCTTGGTTGTAGCACCAGGGCCAGCAGTTGACATCCACTGCCCTGTTGACTGCTCCTGACTGCTTGGGTTTCAACCCAGCTGTCACTTCCTCATGGTATAGTCTTGGGCACATTACTTAACCTCTGGGTCTTCGTTTCCCGATCTGTAAAATGATGAAAGTAATAGTGGCTATGCCCGTAGGGTTGTTGTGAAGATTAATGAATTTATATGTGCATGGGAGGCACTTAAAATAGTGCCCAGCATAGAGGTGTCTGTCCTTAGAATATTAGCCCTTGTTATTGCCACGCATGAGCATTGGGCGCTAAGGCAGATACAATAACGACTAAACATCTTTAAGTTTATCTCCTAGTGGAGAGATTGGAACTGCATCCAACCAACTTCATATCATTTAGATGTGGTACAGATCCTAAGAGGTCCACAGTCTGCCTGTGGGTTTGGAGGAAGGAGAGATGACCTGGACCTTTGGGAGAGAGGCAGGCTCTTTGGAAACTGGGCTTAGATTTTAGGAGGGAAAGGATTGGGGAGAACACTGAATCGAAAAGGGAATGGGGTCATTTTAAGGAATTTTGGACTTTATCCTTTGGGTTGCGGAGAGCCATGGAAGGTGTTGAGCCTTGGAGATGCCCAATCATAGCTATGACAGTTAAATTGCTCTCCTAGCAAGAGGCTTGGAGGGTAGAGAAATGCAAGGCAAGGCTAATTTTGGTCCCTGGCCAAAGAAACGGAGAGTCAGTATTTTGAGGGCATTTACTGTGGACTAGCGTCAGCAATTTACATCCACTGCCCTGTTGACTCTGTGACTGCGATGAAGCAGGTGTCGGACCGTTTTCCAGAGAAGGAGCTCACTCGGTGTCCTGGTGTCACGCGGCAGTTGAAGGTCAGCACTCACCTGCTGTTGGTTTAGGGCCCAGTGTGTGGGGAGCTGACCTCCTCCTAAGCCTGGTTCCCAGGCCTTGTAGCAATTTTTGTGGCAAAGTTCCTCTGCTGCCAGACCGTGCAAATCGTGCTCAGCTTTCTGCTGTGCAAGGTCATCAGGACTCGTTTGCACATATATTTGGCCTCTGGCAGAGCTTGGTAGCCAAACAGAATCTGTTGGTGTGTGATTCAGCAGTCTGGCGCCGGGCCGCTCGAGTTTGCACCCTCTGCCTCTGCCACCTCCTGGCTGGACGACTTGAGACAAGTCACTGCGCCACTCTGTACTGTTCCGTAGCGGGGAGAGCAGCAGTATTCAGTGAGACGGTAGGTGTTACGTGCTTAGAACAGGGCTTGGCACACTGTAAATACGCAGTAAACACTAGCTGTTAATACAGGCAGAGCCTGTCACCACTAGCTCCAGGGCTGGGGTGTCTTTGCTCACTGCAGAGTATTCTGATCAGTCTGAAGGATCTTAAGTTTACAGCAGGGTCCTTGATCTCCAGGAAATTAGTTTTAATTTGGGAGACGGGGCATGTATGTTAAGAAATGCGTATCAGGACAGTAGGAGACAGCGACTTGCCACTGCTAAATAAACGGTATGGACAGATGTGCTTAGAGGAGCTGGGCTTGTGCTGAACCACAAAAGAAGGGGGTGCTTAGGGTTAGGTAAGTCAGCAGCGGGGTGGAGATTCCAGGCCAAGGACACATGTCAGCAAACGTGGAGAGAGGAATGCATGGAGAAACCAACTTGCCAGGAGAGCTGGTGTGGTAAGGTTTCAGGGGATGGAATTGATTCAGGTGGCCCCCACTGTCATTTTAAGGGGTTAGGCCTGTACTTGTCCCTATAGCAGCGAGTGAATGTTGCCCAGTCCTGAAATGCAGCCCTTTGTTTACCAAGACACTAGGATTTATAACGTATTACTCCTCTGTACAGAAATGTCAGCATTTCTTTGCAAATGCAAATTTTTGTTTCCCACCCTTCTTTCTGGTTCCTGGAAGACTAAGTAACCATAAGACCTCCTCTGGCTGCCATAAGATTCTTTCCCCTTTCTCTCAGGGTTGTTTAACTCCCCCAGCTGAAAGCCTTTTTTTTTTTTTATTGGGCCACTGCAGGTGATAGCCAGAGCCTCCTGAGTGAATGCTGGAGAAAAGCAAAGCAGGGGCAATGAACGTAGCACATCAGTTCCAGCTGCCACGTACGTGGTAATGTTTGTGCAGGTGTGAGTGGCCTGTCCATAAAACTGCCCGAGAGGGGAGCTGTGGCAGCCTCGTTTCCCAGAAGTTGCTGCTTTTAATCAGGGAGGGAAGCCCCTAGAAGATCTTTCTGCATCTGTTTAATCTCGTGTGTTCAGCTTCAAGTAACCTGTATGCCAACGCTGGGTTCCTTGTGGGTCCCCACACCACAGCCGGGAGGTCCTGGGGACCTACCCTTTCACACGGCGAAAGACGCCATGGTTGCTTCCAGTTTTTGACTATTATGAATAAAGCTGCTGTGAACATTTCTGTTGTTGGTTTTGTTTGAATTTAAGTTTTCATATCTCTAGGATAAATACTCAGGAGTAAAGTTGCTGGGTCATGTGGTGCTTGCCGGTGTATAAGAAACCGCTGAACTGGTTTCCAGGCTGCTCCTGCCAGTTACAGCCCTACCAGCAATGTGTGGGCTGCAGCTTCTCCTCAGCATTGCCGGCAGTTGGAATCCGCATTATTTTTTTTATTTTAGCCACCTTGCTGATACACGTGCAGTTACACCTCACTGTTAATTTACTTTTAAGATACTTCCAGCAAGATTGGAGAATGGGATATCCTGGCTATTTGAGTTAAAAGACCCTTTTATGTATTATACACATGTAATTATATTATAAAATAATATTGTTTTACTTTTCCTTGGTCCTTAAAGTGGAATCAGCCAAAGAGGGCATTAGAAATACCATCAAGCCCTGGCCGGTGTGGCTCAGTGGTTGGCCCCTCAGCCCATGGAGCGAAGGGTCCCGCGTTCGATTCCAGTCAAGGGCACGCACCTGGGCTGCAGGCCCGGTCCCCGGCCCCAGTTGGGGCACTTACAGGAGACAGCCCATCAATGTGTCTCTCACATGGATGTTTCTCTCCATCTCTCTCCCCCTTCCACTCTCTGAAAAGCGGTGGAAAAAATATCCTCTGGTGAGGAGGGAAAAAGTCAAAATGTGCTTCCCAAGGGCGAGCGCGCTGATCACCCAGCTTAGAATCATGTGATCTTCGTGGACTAGTAAGTCAAAAGGGACTTAGAAAAAATGAGGTTTGTTGAGCACCTGTTATCTCTAGCCAGTACGAAAAAGCACATTAAATATAAAAACTTGCCTGTGCAAGTCTCTTTATCATCTCAGAGTGAGGGGAGTCGTTCTGATTAAAAGCTGATGCCATCACTAAGGGTTGACTTGACAACAGAAAAATCAAAAACTTCTGCATTATAAAACAAACAGCACTATAAGCAAGGTCAAAAGACATGACAAACTACTGTCACCAAAGAGCTGATTTCCTTAATTTATATAGAGCTGGAAATAAAAAGAAACTGAATAGGAAAACGGGCCAAAGACATGAAGTAACAGTAAACAGAACAGGCATGTGTCAGCAGCACCGTGTCCTAGGGTGTAAGAAATTCATCCTGCAGAGCGTTGGGTTTCTCACTGTCCTAAGTGACCAGTAAGAAGAGGGGAGGGAGGGAGG